CAACAACAACAACCAAAAAAAACGTTATTGCTAGCTATAATCCCACAACAGATTTGAGTTTCTTTTTATACTGAACACTCCTATCAGTTAGGTATCTTAAAAAGTCTACTGTTTGTACTTACCTTGGACAATACAGGCACCCAGGTAGGCAGCATCAGAAAAAGAACACAGCAAACGGCCATGGAAAATGTCCCTTTTTATTTGTAAGTACAAGAGGTACCTGAAATACAATTTAAAAAAAAAAAAGAAAAAAAAAAGAAAAAAAGAAACTATGTGGTATCTTTTTGTAACACATTTAACTTACCAGTGTGAAACCAGCTGTGTGTCTCTCTGAAACCCTTCTAGATCTCTCTGTTGCTACCTTAAATGGCAGGAAAAAGAGGCAAAGTGCAACCACAGGGAAAAGTAGATGTAAGACGAGATTTTTCTCAATAACGATGAAATAATGACAGAATAAGTAACAAAACCCCACTAAGAGATAGCATGGAGAGTACTTTATCTAAAATATACACCAGTTACAATGCTCATTAGTAATCTGAAATAAATTACAGTGTGTTTGCTTGAGCACACACACACACACCCATTAAATGCAGGTTTACCCAGGAAATCTCTCGCTCTATCGTTGTACACAAAATAGCACATTGGCCACCGTGCAGAGGATTTCTTTCCTTTTCTGTTTTTTAATCTCAAAGAATCCTAGATGAAGTTTTGAGGTAAAAGCAACTACCTGAGGCCTATGAAGCATCAGGCACAGGTGACCTGCCTGGGAGAAACCTCTCCCATTCCTCTCAGAGCTGTTCTACCTCCAGGAGGACTGGGAATAAGAAAACATAAGCCTCCTTCTACCTGCCTTCCAACTCCTACCACAGAACAACACTGTTTCTAACAGGAGGAGGAGTAGAAGGGCAGCCACAAGGCCGTCAGTGTCTCTCCCTCTCCCCTAGAGAGCAGCCTCCCAGAGACGGACCAGCTCAGAGTGACTCACTTGGAGCTCCTTTCCCAGCCACCTGGCTGGTAACCATTTAGCAGCTTCATCCCTCTGGGAAAACAAAACCACTTAAGCATTGCTTAAGCCAGATAAAGTCAACTGTTCAGAGGGTGCTACTACACTCAGTGGCTTCTGCAGAACTTCAGGACATTCATAGGTGCTGCCAGTCCTCTCCAACCTTGAGCTACAGTGTAGCCAATAATAATGTGCTTTATGAATATGACTGATGTCAGACGTATTTTGCCTAAGTTACTTGGATCTGTGTGTACCGTAAGCTCCTGCACCAAGTAGCTTATCTGAAGCTTACAGTGCCTTCTAGATGTAAGACTGGAAGTAGTATCTATATGACGAGGAAGAGGAATTTTCCTCCTTTCCTTGGATTGTTACTAAATGCTACATAAATACAAGACAGTTATCACAGAGAAAAGCAATCTGTTCTCATTGTGAACACATCCCTTTACTTCATTCCAGTGTTACAAGTTCCTACAAGAACCTTGCACTTCAAAGCTTTTTTGTTTGTTTGTTTTGTTTTATTTTGCAACCCTTTTTTTTTTTCCTGTAATTAGTGTCCAGTAACAGCTCTAATTCACTGCCATAATTGGGTACCACTACATTACAAGCAGTTCCCAAAGGATAACTGCATCAAGATGAACCAAAGGCCTCAGTGAGATGCAGTAAGAATTCTTAGTCTGCAATGACAGCCTACTGGAAAAGGCTCAGTATATTGATACGGAGACCATACATAACCTGGGCAAGTGAGCAGTCCACATCTTAAAACTTTTGGTAAGTCTTTTCCCAAGACTTCACAGCATGGCTTGTTACCTGAGCTGTAAGGTCAAAAGATCTCCACAACACCACACACTTGTGGTTCCTGAGTTTTAAAATTACTGTAATGAGATACAAAAGTAAATAGGCTTCTGGAAAAGCATATTAACCTGCTGCTCCTGACCGACATTTGCAGACATGAGGCTGAGACGAGAACTAAGAATTTCAAGTCTCAGGACCATGCCAGGTCCGACTTTCCAGCTGTACAGACAGAAGCAAATGCTATGAACTCTTACTTTTCCATCAATATTTTGGTATTTACAAGAGGAAAAAACAATTTTGCAGGAAATTATTTCCCATGTAACAGAATTAGGAACCAGTGCTTCCCATCCTGCATCTATTACAAGACCATCTACTATCTTCAAAGCCCAGGGAGAATGGAAATGTTCCAGAATTGACTTAAAGCATCTATTCAAGAGTCAGGCAGCATCTGTCTGTCTCCCTGTCAGATGCTATGCAATAAATCACAAGTTAAGATTCCTGCAGTGAGATGGCAGGGAGTCCCTCTCCCCCCTCCAATATACAGTTATTTTATGAGAATAAACCTTAAAACACACAGACATGAATTCATTAGAATCCAATCCCCCCTTTTATTTTTTTTTAATAATAGTTACAGCCATAAATATACCAGTTTGTGATCGATCACTAAGATAGATAGTACACTGGCACTTAGGATCAAAGGCAACAGTAGCAGCATCAGAAACCCCTCAGAATGAGGGCGAGAACTCATTTCTATGCATTCCACTAAAATTCTGTGTGGATGAACATGGTATCTGGGTAGGAGTGTGCATACTTGTTCTGTTTCTAAGCAAACAGTATGTCACTGACCAGGATCAAAGATTCTCAATGTCGTAATTCAATTTCTGCATCCATAATAGTCTCAAGTCGTCTGAGCTAATCTTGAACAAGAAATGAATAGATTTATTTTCCCTGTAAGAAATCAGTTCCTTGTGCAAGCCTGTTTGCAATCTGAAACTACCAAGATTTACCAAAAAATACTCTCCAAAGTGAGTTTCATTACAATAGAAAATAATGTATAGTCTTTCAATCTAAATTGTCAATATATGCATTTTGGTCAATTACATGAAGCTAATAACAATGTATTATTATCTATTTCCTCCAGCTAAATCACTAGCTCTGGAAGTTGTTCAGAATTTTTTAATAAATAAATAAATAAATAAATGAAGAATTAAAAAAATGCAGAAATTTTCCATTATAATTTTTCAGTAACTTCAGCATAATACATTTTTCATTGTCTTGTCTCCCCAAGATAACAGAAAATACTTCCTTTCTGTAACAATTGGGAGAACAGAAATAGATATTCAATTTTTGCTGAAAGGTATATTAACAGAAAATAGATAAGAGTAATCAGGGGATATATAACTAAAACAGCACATAAAATATAATTTTAGGGAAAAGAACATTTATGCCTCAGAGCTGATTTCTTACCAGTGATCATACTGGGATGACAGAGCTGAGCACAAGCTTCTGTCACAAACGTGGGCCACAGATGTTATTCATCTGTCTTTGCTTTAAAATATAACATATATATGTAATATATAAAATATATAATCCCTAGCATTTGCTAGTCTCAGGAAGAAGCTCTGGCTTTCCTCCCTTACATGAAAGAGATTTAGTTGTTGTCTCTTAAATGGTTCATGTACCTTTCTATTACACTAGTTGTTTTTAAAATAAAAATACCGATGTTTATTTTTTCTGTCACTAAGACTCTGTGCTACTGAGTTGTTGGACCTATTGCACCATTGAAATCCTTAATTAAATAGTTCAAAATTGCATTTCCAAAGAATAATTCCACTTCTGAGAAAAATGTTAGGGAAAAAAAAAATAAAAAAAACATCTCCAAGACAGAAGGCAGCAGTCAGGAGGGCAAAAGAGACACAGAGCACAGTTCACAGTGGAGGCTGGAGAAACTGTTAGATGGGACACAAGACAAGCACTTGCACTCCTAAGGGGGGCAGGGAATTACCCATGCAGAGCAGAATCAGAGTCTGAATATGTTTTCCAGAGACCACCCACACAGCAAGCTGCATGGGATGCTGTTCATCTACAAAGCAAGAAGGGCAGTCTGGAACAAGACTAAGGCACTAATGAGTTCTTTCGAATGAAGGAGATCTATGCACTTTGGAATAAAAGCTGATGTTGCAAGCTTTGCCAGAGGTTGGCTCAACCTCGGATACTTCCTATAATCCTGATAAAGTAATTTATGTCCCAGGTCAGCAAAGACCTATGAAAATGTACTTGACTACTGAAATCAGTAAGATTTTTGCATATACTTAAAATTGCCTATACTTACAGAAATAACTTGCAAAATCAGATCTCATTTTGCTGCTTCTTGTATCCTTTCACCACAGCTGTTATTTCCAAGCCCTGGCACAACTTTGTAGCCTGATTTACAGCCCTATGTACCAGCAAGCTGGTAAATGTATGCTTCAGTGCTTAGACTCTATCATTGGAATAACCTCATTTCCATCTATTATCTGTTTGCAATACAGATGACTCAGTTCCAGGTTAGCCAAGCCTTTCCTGCAACTGCAGATGAAGGGTCAGCAATATCTATCCATGGTTTTAAGCAGGCTACATGACCCCCAGAGATCATGTTCCTAACTGCTTATCAGTTAATTTATTTATTGACTTTTATCTATTCTATTTTTACTTATCTATTTTAAGATGTTCACTGAGGCAGGAAAGCTTTGTCAAATTTTGTGCTTTTTTTCTCATGTTCAAGCCACTTATTTTATTTCAGCAACAAGCATTTTTGCCAGTGTTGCAGCCTTTATAGTTGAAGGACACAGTCACCTCAAGGGACACAGCAATGCTTCAAAATTGTTATCTCAGCATGGTGTCTTTGACTGTGCTGCTCTTTCCCATGCTACTGTGCATACTCAGGTGCAGAGTAGCAGAGGGCAAATGAATGTGTTTACAATATCCCTGGATTGGGTGTCCTTCTGTTGCAGCAGAATTTATGAGCTCTTTATGTGTATTATTCTGGCCACTAACTGTGTATTTCATCTTCTACAGGAGATATCATCAAGTACACTGCAGGAGCACTGGTTTCCTGACAAATTCTATGAATCTAACCTAAACACTAACTACTACATAATAGTATATGATAACACAAATAAGAGAATGATCTTTTCTATGCTTTACAGTACCACCTAGATAAAAAGGCTAATAGAAAAATAATTATATTCTCTAAAATTATATTGTCTACTTAATAATATTTGAGGAGTATTTTGGTATTTTATAAATTAAAGAAAAGCCATCACTCTAACAGTTACTGATAAAACACAGAGCTGACAGGTAGATCTTGCAGTCTTCAAAGACAGGTCTCTTAAGTTACCAGCTCAGGGTGAAGCAGCAGCCAAAAAAGCCATAAAAAACTGGGC